CCCCAAAACCCCAAAACCCCAAAACCCCTTTATAGAGTGTTAACAGCATGCTTGAAAAAACATAAATGCAAAAAAGTAATACTGATAGTATGAAAGAAATTTATGTATGAGAGAGAACTTCATTGATTGCTATTTTATAATAAAATACCTTGTTTATTTTTGATATCCTCAAAGGAGACTAAGTCTCATTGAGACTAGTCAAGTATTTCTATCTAATCTGCTCTGTAATCTTTGCACATGCCTCTTAATTTTTTAGGAGCAGATCTCTTAATATCATATTCTTCATGTAGTTATTGCATATCCATATTATTAATCTTTGAACATTTATCCTCTTTTTATTTGATACTCTGAATATTTGGCTACTGATTTTGTAGTTCTTATACTACACCGCCCAAGCCTAACTCTTCTAAGAAATCAATATCAAGACCATAAAGCTCTTATTTTTATTTTGGTACCTAAGTCTTCACTTTTTTTATTTTACTCATTTAGATTATAGTTTTTGGAGCACTTGGCCCACTACCAAAGTTATTTGCTGATCCTGTTGTGTTCATCTTAGATATTGAAGGATCTCTTTATTTTGTGACTGATGAATTTATTCTCTCTTTTAAGGAGTTTGATATACCAGTGCTACCATTATTTTAATTCATCAGATTTGGATCTTAAGTCATTTGCTATAGTTAAACTTTGCTTGAAGTTGTATTCTTTATTTTGCTTAATGAAAATTTCTTTATAGGATTCGTTTGAGCTGGAGTTTAATTGACATCAGCTTCAGATGTACAATCAAACATGTTAAAAGAAGAAGATGTACTAGAGAATCCATTACTTTACTTAAAGGCATTACTTTGATTCATGATATTTGTGCTGTCTAATTACTTAATGCTTCCTGCTGTTAATTTAATTGGTCCCTTTTTGGGAATAATATTTTTTATGTTGTCTAAATTTGAAGTCATTTGTGGCGTCTAGTTGATATTAATTCCTCCTGGATTATTGAAATTTAAACCTGTCTTTTTAAAGGATATCTAGCTCATATTCATATTTGTTGATCCCAAGTTGACACCTCCTATTTTTGGAAGACTTTATTTTCTATTTGACGATGTGACAGGATTAGCTACTTTTAAAATCTGATCACTCCTAAGAAGTTCTTCCTATTAAAACTCTTAATTATGAAATTCATACCTATAATTTGACAGAAAAATCTTTCAGTTCTTTTTGATTAGGTGCCCTCGGAGTTTGATTTTTCGAGCTTTGCAGCAACTAATTTTGAATCTCATCTATATCCTCCTAAAGCTTGTCGCATTCCTCATTGATTATCTTTTTGATTTAAGCAAGGATCTTCTTCTCTTCTTCATTAAACTCAAGAATGTTTGAAAGTTTGAATGATTCAACTACTTTTGTTTCTTTGTTTTACAATTCTCCGAATTTATTGCCTCCTGATGTGCTATAAAAGGAACCTCTCATACTTGCCTCGGTACCTTTAGGCATTGAACTTCCAGGTCTTGTTGATTAGGATACAGCTGACTATGGTCTTGATTAGTTTCTAATGTACTCATCTAAGACAACTTATTACATAAATTATTAATTACAAATTTGTTTGTCTCTCTGATCATTAATTGGCATGAGAGAGTCTTCATTTAATCCAGAGTCGATTGCTTTCTAATGAATTTAAAATATATTTTAAATTACCCTTCTAAGATTATCAATGAAGAACGATATCTCCTTGTTTAAAAACTCAGCATTTTTCTGTTCGAATTGAAATCCGTTCATATTTTGATTTTCTGAGTCTTTTAATTCCTCAATATCACTCAAAATGTCTGCTATATTTTGATATTGCTTTCTTAGTTCCTAAAATTGTTAATAATACTAATACTACTTCAGCTTTTTCAATCAATTCTGTTCCAATGAGTCTAGCCATCTCATCTTCTTCTGATTTCCTTAGTTTAGTCTAAAAATTAAAGTTATATAAGTTACTTTTAGGAGATCCCACATTAGAACAACCTTGTTATTTGACTATTCGTCTCTGTTTTATTAAATTGAACTGTCTGTTACCCACATTTTTCAAACGCTTTGCTTCTTTTTCTATTTCTTAATTATATAAATTTAATATTATATTAACTTAATTATTTAATGAGCAATATAGTTTAAATACAGTAAGTGAAATATTGAAATAATAGTTTGAGAACTAATCTTATTTAAATAAAATGCCACAGAATCTTATAAGCCTTGCTCTCTGCTCGACTTAGATTATGAAGGCTGACATTATTCGGTTTACATGCTTAAGTTAGTTGATCATTAGTTTTCAATGTTGTCAACAATGGATGTGAAAACTGCCATTTATTTGACAAAGCATGACTTAGTGCACTCTTTCTCAACTGCTGAAAGTTACTTGGATTGGAAATCAGTAATGCAGTGCTCAAAGCATTGCTAAGCAGTGTCGAAGAAGTATTTGCTTTGAGATTGAAAATCAACCAATTACTAAACTCCCAGTTGCTATTGTTAGCTTGCCATTTTGTAAAATATTAAATTATAAAATTAATCATTATCATTAATATTTAACTAATAGGGAAGAATTATAAATACAAATATAAACTTTAAAAGGAAGTCAAGCAATGTTATAAAAATCACTATTATACTTAAGAACCCCATCTATTCTTCTATAGAGTAGCACTTATAGCATTAGAGCATTCTCCAAGGCTTACTAGACGATAGATAGTGAGAAAATCTCTAACAATTTCTAATTTCCAGATCACAAGGAATTCTTTAATGATATGTATTATGAGAACCAAGAAACTAAGAGTGCTGTCTAAGATAGTTAGCCAGGCCCCAAGACCCTAGGTAAGGACTATATTGATCCTCATGAGCCTTTTGTTCAAAAAAATATGTTCGCTCCTGGTGGCATACTAGCAACTTACAAGAAATAGGTAGGAATTACTGCAAAGGATGTAATGGAGTAGGACTACTGGGATAAAGTCAAAAATTTGCAAGGGGATGCTTCTTAATACTTTAATGTAGTCGGATAAAATGAGAAAGATATGATGAAAACAACATAAAATCTTATAATGAGAACAAGACTTGAAAGAGAAGTGAAGTTTGACGACGATTTCAGAAAAAGGTTTATGACCAAGGACTATGGCAATTATGAAAAGTATGACAATAATTAAATCAAAGAAGAAAGAGATATTGGAGCTAATGACAGAGGCGGTGATCAATTCCTTTTGAACTACTACAAAGTAATGAGAAACATCAATATCTAACCTAGTGATGAATTTAGAGAAGGTGAAAAAAAATCATTTGAGGATGCATTGACCAATTAAAACTACACAAATAACTTAGTGAATAAAAAGTATCGTGCCTTCTATGCTAAATAAGCTGACTGGGATCTTTAAAAATAAAAAGATGATGAATTAAGGTTTGTTCAGAACTTTCACTAGAACAATGTCACATATTTTGGAAGAATGTCACCAATAGGCAAATAAGAGTTATATACACTTTATTTGAAAGGTATGACAATTAAAAATCTAAGTTTGAAATACGGTATTCTTCCCTAAAGAGTCAAGGCTATTATCTTTTAAAAGTTCCTGTATTGGAATGAAGTTTACCCTAAACTTGGAGAAACTCACATGAGACTGTCAATGGAAAGAGAAGCTTAATATGCAGCATACTTTCCATTTGTAGACTACGGTCTGGACATCAAGAAAATGGCTGAATTAGAAAAAGGTATTTATATGCATTCCATCAAGAGATCTGAACTTGATTCAAACCCTCCTGAGGAACTCAAGAAGAAGATTGAGAAGTACATGGGTAAAATTAAGGCTAGAAGACATGATCATATTCCCATTACATTGCAAGGTAAAGCTGGAAGTGCCTACCTCCTAAAAAATTGGTTGATTCATAGAGGAAAAGGATCTCCAAAAGTTAATATTCATTTTAGAGATGCTGTTAGATTAACTGGTACAAAAAACGAATATAGATTAAATAATAGAGTAGCATTAAGAATGAAAGTCGGTGGCCCTAGATACGCTGGAATGAAAATTAGTCAATAGAGAACCAAATATTACAGGCAATGAGACTAAAATACTTTAATCCGTTCAGATTTAAATTAAAATTTCCCAATTCAACCTTCATATTTTAATGCATGGGGTTTTGGGGTTTTGGGGTTTTGGGG